ATATCCATCGTTTGTGTTTTGAGCTTGAGGCAGGGTCCGACGTTGTTTTTGCTGCGGATCTCTAGAGGAGCTGGGAGGACCCACTTTGTTTTCTTTGATTTGAGTTATCTGTGGTGCAGCTATGAGACCAGCTTTGCTCCCAAAACTCAACTGTACAGCGTTGCGTTACGTGCAATATTCCTATACGGACCTGAAACCTAGCTAGTTGCTTTTGAAGATGAGTATTACTTAGAAGGGTTTTTAGCTGTTGTTTTCAAATAATTGCCCACAATCGATTGGTGTGACTAGTGAGTAATCTACTGTGACCACAAGTGTTAGGCCGTGGTTGACGTTCCCTCACAGCAATCACCGTATAACACTGTTTGAGATCCCTGGAACACATTGGGAATACCTGCCAGGCGGTTGATACTACGCACTCTGTTCGTGCACCCGGCGCGCATTTGAATGAAAGATCGTGAAGACCATTGTATGGCATGACGAAGTGTTATGAAGAAGGTGACACACGCGTAAGAACTCTAGATTGGATCACACAGGTACGAGTGTGTCCGGTTAAAAGCCCTGAAAATGACTCGTAATCTGAACAACTTGCGGCATCCCACATATGGATAAAATTAGTGCTCATATACTTCAGAATTCACTCTCTATTTTTCAGTTTCTCAATTTGGGGTATAACCCAAATCACAAATAAACGTTGCACAGATTGTTAGTATTGGTGCGTTCTCCGAGACGGAAATGTTGTTCGCAGATGTTTCGCAGCTTCTCTAGGCATTACCATCAGTGCAAGTTCCCCAAATTTGCGGACAAAAAAATAACACTTCCATCTCGGAGAACATAACAACATCCGCGTCCCGATATACAATCATTCTACAGTAATACGCAGAGTGATACATGTGATGAAGCCTAGTTTTTAAATATCGATTCCCTTTGATTTCCCTCATCGTTTGCCTTGCGCAGCTCGAGACCGAGAATTCCGATAGTTCGAAAACGATCTATCTAGTTCAGTTGCCAGAAAATGTGCTGGACTCTTGGAAGGCTGCATTCCGATACGCTAAAGAAATATTGGTAAGTGTCCTCCGTGCTTGCGTGCAATATTATTATATTTTATACTTGTCTGTGGCGGAGCCTTCAAATTTGTCTGCGCTGTTTCCACTCGATCATTTCTACATTGCTTTTTTTTGTTCTGTAGTGTTTCGTTGCTATCGCAATGACGCCAGTCTCAAAATGGCGTTATACCTTCCTAGAAAACATCAGTAGCGCTAATATGGCCCCACAGAAACCCGAATTTGGAAAATCAGCGAGAAACAAATACAAACGGATCTGCAGGATATCTCATATACACTGAAAGAAGCACCGTAGATTTGTCACAATTCTGTATATCAGTCAGTATCAGCAACAACACCCATTCATTGCCTGGGAAATTACCGGAAATATCGGACCTTGTGCGCCGTATGACATATTGTAGGTTACGTACAACTCTGTTACAAGGGACTTGGTTACATAGTGATACTGATGAGAAGATGGATACAGTCGATGGCTTCACGGGCCACCTTAACGTGGTGTGGTGGCTTGTGCTCCTCTATGACCCAATGAGCTACACAAGGTGGCTTTTATTACGCCATGAGATCTTATCATGTCTAGAAGGTCAGAAAACGTTCAGTCTCTTGGTTCTCCAGGTTGGGGGCTGATTCGGTAAACTTGTGGAGGAATATTTGATCCGAGCTAATGGGCCTCTATTTCGCGTTTGCCGCTACCTTGCGGCTAGGTTCTGATTCGAACTGAACGGACGAAGACCCTAATCGTTCTCCTGCTTAATGGCTAGACACCTTAGCAGTACCTGTCTATCAAACTGTAATGCATATACAAACAAAAATGAATTCCATGCTGTATTGGTCGTCGCACAGGATAATCAGGACCGCGCTACGCATTGGATCGAGTGTAGTGGGTAGTGATTAGTGGGCTACTGTCCAGACATTCCAACTCGTGTTTAACTCTTTATCTTCCGTACCCAACCCTCGCCTTCTTCTTCCACTTCCAACCCCTAACATTCTCTCAGACAACTTGGTTGTCCCTGGCCAAATTTCGTTTCACTGTAAGTAATTTACGACCGATTACATTGCAGTTTCTGAGGCCTTATCAATTACCGAATCTTGGGGCCTTCAGCACGGGAACCCTGTGCAGGCGTGTTAACAAGCCTGTCGGTCGCGTACAGTGAGCGGTTTGGGAATTGATTTCCGGTGCGTATTAGAGACGCGAACCCAGGGTCCTAGTACTATAAACCACTCGAGTGCACCAGATTTGCCTTCCAGGTACTTCCTCCGTACATCAGATGACGACGAATCCCGTTCAGTAGACGTGTCGTAGGCATGATACGCAATTGATTCAGTTTAAGTTTGTACAACCATTAACCATGCACTTTCCTGCGCCGGTTTGTATTTGGAACGGGTGGAGAGGTGGGATTTGCGTGCACAGGATGGGTGCAGTTAGATAGGATATTGTCAGTAAACTTCAAACACGCTTCACTATGGGCATTACACATATTGCCAATCAGAACGGAATTTTCGAGACACGGCTGATCATTGAGAAATCAGCCTTCAGCAAACCAGGGAAAATTACAGAGGAGCAGTACAGGGGTATAGGGAGGACACATTGGTGAACGAAAGCGTTTATCACCGACGAGTCAGAACAGAAGTGGCGCGGTCTTCTTATCTGAAAAGGGAAACTTTTCAACTTGCGAGCAACATTTTGAGTGTGTAAGGACCAGCGAAGGTTAGTTTCAAGTGTGACACCTAAGTATTTCACATGGCTGACCCTGCTCATCGGTTTTCCATGAATCTGGATACTATCGGGGGGAGACGGAGTACGGTTTAGAGTAAAACTACATCCTAGGCATTTTTCAGGATTAAGATTAAGACCGGAAAAAGTGGAATATGAAACTAGGTGGGATAGGTTTGTGTTATATTCAACCAGTTCTGATTGGTTAGATACGGAAACAGAA